CACAGTAGAGGGTAAGCGAAAGTTATTAAGATCAAGTGAATAATTCTAATGGTAAGACCAAACACTCCTAAATTTTCAAGTGCCAGCCATATTAGCCGTACAATTAGTTGTTAGAATCTCAATAGTACTCCTTTCGTCTCAAATTAATTATCATGTTTTATTGTAAGAAATTCAAATTAACTCATTTATATACAATATATAATCTATACCATAAATTGCAATTTTTGGTTATTAATTTGATTAAAAAAATATTTCAAATACTTATATAATTTAATTTTTGATAAGTGAAATATGACAATTATACGATTAATTAAAACTAGTGGAGTAGTAAAGGTAAAGTACACATCACAGCTCATATGGTACTGGATATATATCTATCTCATCAAAGTCAGAATTTATATCTATTTATTGTGCTACACCTATTTCATCAATTATTACTTATTTATCTCACAACTTAGCTCTTCTTGATTTGAGGAATTCCAAACCCTTCTTGACTTTATTTTTGTTAATCAAATATAGTAACTATTCACCAAATGTTTTAGAAAAGCATTTTCAGAGCGAGTTATGAAGTGGTGTATAATAAAAACATATCGATCGTACTGATCTAGCGATTATATGAGTTATTGTCTTTAGATGGATAGAAAATGACAAATATTATAAATTGAAATAAGTAAATATCAAATATCGAATAAAAAAGTAAACGGAAGTCTTTCGTAACATGTGGAGTGATATATGTACTAATTAGGGTTCTTTTTTCATTTATTATAATAAGAGACAAGATGTGCTTAGTTAGGTCAAAAGAAGACTTTACTTTAAAGCAATCACGTCATTAAGTTCACATTGAACTTTATTCTATAAGCTTTCTTTATTTTATTTTATTAAATCTCATTCCAACCACCATCTTAATCCTTTCTTTGAGAAGAAAAAAACTAAAATAAATACATAAAATGTCCTATTTTTTTAATTAAGAAAAACAACTAAAATTTAGTTATAAACAAATAACCTAGAAAATTCTAATGATTATCTGAATTAAGTTAGCCCCATTAATACCTAGAAAATTCCAATGATTATCTGAATTAAGTTAGCCCCATTAATCAACTTATCATTATGTCAGACGTCTGATATCATTTTGAAATTTAACCGATTTACTTATCAAATTTGTGTTGAAATTATATGCCAAAAGCAATAGAAATACCCTAACCTTGAGCAAAGCGGGAGCTAGATGATTACGTATTGGTTCAGATGAATCTTTTTATTAAAAATTCATTAAATATGTAATTGTGAAGCTTGTTATTAAGATAAATTATGTATTTCACCACGAAAATCTTGACTACTCCTCTAACCTTGAGAACTAGGGTTTGATCATCTTTTATTTGCGATCAATATTTACTTCATCCGCTAATAATTAAATATTTTAAATTTTTCGACTGAGCATCGATACTTTTGGAGTTTCTCTCACAAGAGTCACTGCTCTTTGGAGTGATGAATTTAATAATTATGTTAAAATATTAAGTTCAGTCTTCACAGTTTCATAGAACCTTCATCAAGGAATTTAAAACTATAATTTATATGATAATTAATTTTTTTTAAAAAAATAAGTCAATATTCAGGTTGAACTGATTATTATCTGCAAAATAAAGCTGGCAATTAGACTTTTTTTTTATACAGAAACAAAAAACAAACAGAAAAATATGGGCACCTATGACAACATTGCGACCGCCCTTAGGGGTAAAATTGGTATTTTTATTAGTTTTCCATTAGTGTTCATGTCATTAAATCCGAGTTCATGTATTGTAAAGTTCATTTTACAATTTTAGAGGTTCGAATTCGGAGCCTGATTAAGGATTAAGTGATCTACAATGTACAATGATTGAACTAAAATCTAATAATTTACTATTGTATGAAGTTATTTATCCTTTTATATCTCGACTAAATACGAGAGTTATCTTAAACTGATAAGTAAAAGTGAACGAAGATGATAATAGAGAAAAAGGTGGTGACCGGTTCAACCGATGGTAAACTTATCAATCAAAATTAGTAAGAAAAAGAAAACCGAAGCAATAATTAACGTGTACATATTATTTGTCACATTGTACTAAACCGATTCAACAAAATGGTGTCCATGTTATGTTAATTTACTCTCATATTTATATATTGGGTCCCACCTCTCGATAAGCACAACTAACCGATAGAGCAAATATATGTTTTGTATTTATTAAAATAGTGACGGTTTAATAAAATAATAATACTTAATGAAAATTCGAATTTTATTTATTTTGTTTTGTATTTGTTCGTTTGGAATTATATTGATTTGCACTCTATCTCTATGCTTTGATATAGATTGGATCGATACAAAGCTAATCAATACATTAATACAAAGCGAATCGATTACTATATCATGAGTTTTTCTCAATAAAATAGCAAATCATCGTAATATTTGATGATTAAGGCTCAAAATACTGCTAATTCTAAAACAATATTTATTTTGAAATGTTTTTTTTTTTTGCTAAAGCGATGCTAATCTTGAGATCGAGGGAGTATGATGAACTAATTGTTTTTATTTCAAATCTTCTTTTACGCCATGCGTGAACTAATTGGTAAACTAATTAGAGGGTATATTCCCAAATAGTCTATCATATTAGTTGTTTAACTTTTCCTTTTTACTATATTCATAATTATTTTTTATATTCTACCTATGTTAACTATTTTTTATTTAAACTATTCGATAAACCTATTTAGATTAATTCTTCAATAATTAATTGGTTAATGATGTGTTATAGTCGCTTGCAATTTTATTTACCATTAAAGATGCAATAATTAATTAAGATACATTTAATATAATAAGTTTTTAATAGAATAAGTGGAAAACGAGGAAAATATTACCACTTAGAGAGTATGTTCACTTTGATATATATTTTCACATTAATTGAATTTATTTGCTTTTTGAAGAGTCAGGATTTATTTCTAAAAACAGTGAATATGTCATTATGAGTGATGATTTCCCATTAATAAGATTTTTTTAATTAAAATATGTTATGTTAATTATCACATTATACGTACTTATTACTTAAGCACGCAACAAGTAACATTTTAAATAAGGATATCTATTGAGTATCTTTCATAATATTACAACCTAACTGGATTTTAATGAATATTCTAACGATTCATATATTATTCGCTGGAATTGAAATATCTATAAAATCGAATAATTTATATTAGTGCAATAAATTTTATGATATCATAATGACATTGTTTTCGTTATCACATTTCACTCTACTAAAACAAATACTCCTTAATTTTTAGTATCAATAATTAGGAATTACTTTTACTTACTTGTGTCAACAATTAAATTACACTCTTTTGTTTAAAAAATGAGTCTAATATTTATATAATATCTCACTAAGCATGCTAAATTTTATTTTTAGTAAGTTAGATCGTTAATTTTTTTGTTCTTTTACAAGTGAATATTTATAAAGTTACCATAATTGTTAATAGTTCCACCAATTAACTACTTGTGTGATATATAGAATGAGTATTGTAATATAGTTTTCAAATTAGTCAAATATAACAATAATTTAACAAATTTAAACAAACAAATTACGTGTTTAAATTTAATTCATTCAATTTATGGAAATTAAATAGTTCTTTGATGGTAGCAAGAGACAATATGATAATTGAAATCTTATATAAAATAAGGTCAATCACTAACTTCACTTTAAATACAACATCCTTACGTGTATAAAGTGATATTCACTCAAATCACTTATTGACAATAACCCCTCATTATAATAATTAATAAAGATTAATAACAAGAAAGCAATATTAATGTGAAATAAATAAGAAAAAAAAAAGATCTAATATTAATATAGTTTACCTTCACGACTCACGAGATAGGAATAAAATCTGCGTACATTTCATATTTTCATATTTTTCAGATTTCACTAATGAAATTTTAGTGAGCATATTGTTATAGTAAACTTTATACAAATAAGAAATATTGAAGTACTTTTTAAATATATATTAAGATAATTTATTTTTAATAGGAGTGACTATAAACAGTAAAACTTTGAAAATATACAAAAGGAAAAAAACACTATGATTGAATTAAGATTCGTTGGAATATCGAATCATTAATTTAAGATTTATAAACAATTTACACCATCTTCCAAAAAAATTGAGCAAAGATAGAAAATCATTTAAAAAAACAAAAAACAAAATAAAAACACATTCCATAATATTTACAACCACACATAGACTAATCATACCATCATTTATTTATTTTTTAAAAGTCTTAATAGGTTTTTACTCTACTACCTACTAAATGAAGTATCACCAAGTGCGATTTTACTTTAATTAGAAATTTTAAATTTAAATTTAAAAATAGTATTTTATTAAATTAAAAACCAAAAATGTTTTTAGTGAGTTTTTTCTTAGTGCGTAAATTTAGATTTTTTGGATTGCTGATTTTTTATTAAAGGTGAAAAAAAGAAAGAAAAGTCTTTAATTTTCAAAGAGAACATCTCTTAAATCTTAATAATCTTTTACTATAATCCTTATTAAATTCCGCACAATACAACGTTAAAAATTTTCACCTTCATAACTAATGATTTCGAATACCAACTAGAAAATTTGAATTCGAGAGTTTTATCAAAAATAATCTCTATATCTTCTTATAATAAGATAAGTCTTATATACACTCTATCTTTTCTATACCTTATTATTATCGTTAAATTTAAACTTTCACCTATAATCCCATTTTTACCCCCACGCTACCCCACTAAAAATCCAATTCCCCTAAACTTTTACTTTTTTTTATACTTTGTACTACTTGTCCCCTTATTTCTAGTCATTATTTTCTTTTTTTATTTATTAAACAATTTAATTTTTTTTCCTATTTTTCTCTCTCTAACCTCTCAACGCGTTCACGCGTTAAATTTTGTCGCCTTATTTGTGGTCACCCACTATATATATTCCTCCATTTTTATCTTCTTCTTCCGCAGATGCAGACTCACAATTTTCAACAAATTGTTCTCTGCAGCTGCTCAAAAAAATTAAATAAATAAACAAAATAGTTGTAGAAATTCACCATAATTATAATTATGCCTTCGTTAGAGGAGGAATTGTTTCCGTCTACACCTGGAAAATTCAAGGACAGAAATCGACATTTTCATCGATGTTTTGCATCAACAAGCACGATGTTTCTATGGGCATTGTTTTTAATAGCTTTAACAGCTTCATATTTGTGTTTTCAGTCGTTTATGGATTCCGGTAACCGGTATTTCACCGCTACATGGGGCGGTCATCATTGGGAGAAAAATGTTATCAATTCCGCTCAGATCCGCCGTTCTCACGGCGGAATGTCGGTGTTGGTTACCGGCGCAGCTGGTTTCGTCGGTTCCCACGTCTCCCTCGCCTTGAAAAAAAGAGGCGACGGAGTTGTAGGAATCGATAATTTCAACAATTACTACGATCCGTCGTTGAAAAAAGCCCGGAAGAATCTACTCAACCAGAATTCCATTTTCATTGTTGATGGTGATATTAACGATTCGAAATTGTTAGTTAAGCTGTTTGACATTGCTCGATTTACACATGTAATGCATCTGGCAGCTCAAGCTGGAGTTCGTTACGCCATGGAGAATCCAGGTTCGTACATTCACAGTAATATCGCCGGCCTGGTAACCCTACTCGAAGTTTGTAAAAATTCGAACCCGCAACCCGCCATTGTTTGGGCGAGCTCAAGTTCTGTTTACGGGTTAAACGAAAAAGTACCATTTTCCGAATCGGATCGGACGGATCAACCCGCTTCGTTATATGCCGCTACAAAAAAAGCAGGTGAAGAAATTACACATACTTATAACCATATTTACGGGTTATCGATAACCGGGTTAAGATTCTTCACTGTTTACGGACCGTGGGGAAGACCCGACATGGCGTATTTCAGCTTTACCCGTAACATATTGCAAGGGAAACCGATTACGGTTTATCGGGGCAAGAATCGGGTTGATTTAGCCCGGGATTTTACCTACATTGATGATGTGGTAAAAGGTTGTATCGGGTCACTTGATACTTCGGGTAAAAGTACCGGGTCGGGTGGGAAGAAACGGGGACCCGCTCCGTATCGGATATTTAATTTGGGTAATACGTCTCCGGTGACAGTTCCGATGATGGTTGCGATGTTGGAGAAGCATTTGAAGGTTAAAGCTAAGAAGAATTTCGTCGTAATGCCCGGAAACGGCGACGTTCCGTTTACTCATGCGAATATAAGTTCGGCCCGGAAAGAATTCGGGTATAAACCCACAACCGATTTGCAAACCGGGTTAAAAAAGTTTGTTAAATGGTATCTCTCTTATTATGGCTATGATCAAGGAAAGTTGTAAATTGATAATTAATTTTTTTTTTAATTTCATGTTGTGGTTATTTTAGATTTTTTTTCTTTTTTTTAATCACAAAAGCAAAAAAAAAAAGAGGAAAAAGAAAAGGTGAATACCAATTCTTTTTTTAAAAAATTATTATTATTATTATTATTGGGGAAAGAGGAGGGGAAAAGATTTGATAAACTCCCTTTCCCTTTTTTAGAACAACTTGTTATTGCTTTCCTTGTAAAGGATAAAAGAAGTTTATTATTCTTTGTCTCATATATTGTCTTTTACTTTTTTATGTATATTTATATGATAATTGATATGTATATTCTTGTTTCCTTCTTTATGTGATAATTTTTACAAAGTACAATAACAATATCTAATAACTAATTACTTTTATTAGTAACAAGTATTTTATGAATAATCGAAGTATGTAAAAGCTGATTAAGGTGTACATAAGGTAATTCATATGTATGAAAGTTTGATACAAAGAAAAATTCAAGATTTTAATCTGATATATGTTTTGATTTTTTATTTTAAGAAAATAATTTCAAGTATATATGATTTATTAGACTAAAATTTTAAAATTATGTTGAATGTGCATTTTGAATGCTATCTCCACTCTTGATATGAAATAATGTTATCTAATTTTTTATTAAAATATTTAATTGTAGTAGTGAGATCTTGTGCAGGCACATGGAGGGATATTTGTTGACAATTAAATGGTTAGGATTTATTAGACAGAAAAGCCAGCTAAGTTTGAGCCTTAAATAGTGGAGATGGACAGCTAAGCTTGACTGTGAAATACATGTATAAGTCATCGATCTGGATTGTGACGGAATGATTGGGATTACTCTCCGATAATTTCGAGTTCTGCGTATTGAAAAAATCTATTTGGAGTGCAGCCATCATCATGAATGGGCTGTGTCATTCACTAACTTTGAAATAGTCAGATTTCAATATGAATACGAGATATATATGAAGTGTTTTTATTTGGGACCCACAACATGTGAATGATTAGTACTCAAACGTGTGAATTTGATCCAACTGTATTCCTATTTGTTGGCTCTTTCCTACCGACACTTATTTGGGCTCTTTCACTTAAAAATTGGGCTTTGTGGGCCCTATGATGTTTTTTATGGGTGGGGGGAGGGGTGGTGGTGGAAGTGTTTTTATTTTTTATTTTTTCACTCAGTGTTGGATATTTGTATTGAAGTCTAATTAGTTCAGATTCACTTATTGCAAAATTAATTTTTATTTTTCATATTCAAAACTTGAATTCGTGAGCTCTAGTAAAGTGTAGAGGAATCTTAATTCCTAAGCATCACATCACGACTCACATAATGAGGTGTGTGTTTGAGGGTGGGGAGGGGTGGAGTTTATCTAGTGTTTTACTAGATGTGTGGTATCATAATTGAAGATTAATTAATTTTAATTCGCGATGCAGAATTTGATTTTTGATTTTTGATTTTCATTCTCATGGTTTGTAATCGAAACTTTTGATGAAGTGTGGAAGGATCTTAACCATTTCACCACATCTTAATATGAAGTTTAAGGTTTGAACTTTGGTAAGGGAAAAAATTGTGTTAAAAGCGTCACATATAAAATAGGCTCTACAATTAATATGTGAATTTAACTTAGTCGTACTTCAATGTAAATATTAGATATCGAACGAAAAATAAAAGGAAAAAAATGTAAGTGATTATATTCGTTTTTTTTTCTTCTTTCAAAATATGACTCATTTATTTGGAAAAGGACTAGACATCCACCGACAGTTTATATTATTGGACCCATTGTTTTTTTTTTTCAAACTTTAATGTGATTGATCTTTAATAGTATTTGATATTTTTCTTAAAAGTATTCCAACGATAAAGTTTTGAAAGTTTGAATTATTTAACATTTTTGAATTTTTATACGAATTTAACAAAATCATACAACTTTGGTTTATGTGAAAGTTTTAATTGAATATGGCGTAGTAAAAAAAAAAGATATAAATTTTGAGGTTAAATATTATTAGATTTAACCTCAATATAATAATATTGCATTCACCATCCCCTAGTAAGGTTCACTATTTTCGCTCCGATTTTCCTCTATCATACTAAGCAATATCAAGTTTCGATCGAATTTTAGTATTTGTACATATATAAAAATGATTATACATCCATATTTATGAAAAAATAATAATATTAAATTAAATTAAATTCAATTCAATTCATGTGTTTTGAGCATAGGTTTTTAAAAATAAAATAAAGGGGTTTTGATTAATTCATTCAAAAGTTAAAAGGAAAGATGGAAACATAGTAATTACTAAATCTCAATCATGTGAATAAAACCATATATTTAGGAGCAAACAACAAATCCACATGAACAACTTGAAATTCTTGGAAATAATAACTCACACATGCTTTAGTATAGTTAGAACTCATTGCCACTTCATCAACATGTGAGTACTAAACCCTATTTTATTTTTTTAATAATGTCGATGTTCGATCAGCTTAGCTTATGCACAGTTTAAACTATTCTATTGATATTTGTTATTTTTCACTAACACATATATTATGTAAAATCTTCGACAATTTTGGCTCTTGTGCTTGTTTAAAACTTATGATGTAAATTTCAACTCTGATTCACAAGTACAATGAATGACTTAGTTACATATATGTTCTTGATATACATCATGATAAGAAAATAGAGTACAATGGAAGAAACAAATAATTCTATATACACTATATCAATTAATAATTAGTTGGAATTAAGGTTTAATTATATAGATACATCTATTTTAAGTTTAACGTCCATTAGAAACATCGGTAGAAAATATGTATAGAAACCTAGGTGGTAGAAACATAGTGTATTTTTTGTTTTGTTTTTTGTATATCCATTCTCAACCCTAATTAAACCTACTTATCCGACTAATTTGCCAATTGTCAACTAATTAAGATCTATTTAGTCATGACTATTGACTAAGTAAGAATCAAATCATATTAAATTATGTAGTTTCTTTACTGTTAAACTATGTTTGGAAGAGAAAATTAAACAACTTTGATAAAGGACTAATATATACTTACAGAAAGAGAAATTTGATAGAATTCAATCAAGTTGATGAAGGTAATTGAAATTTGTCACGAGAATTTAAATTTGCACTTACAAATCAATACTTGCAAGTTGTATAAATTGGTTGGAATTATTACTCTTTATTATCTCCTTAGTCAATATATATAATTGAAATTACCTACCAATTCATCGTCAATCTGTTGCTAAATTACTCGTAACCTAATATAATTGAAAATACCTATAAATTTCATCGTCAATCTGTCGCTAAATAACTCGTAACCTAATAAGATTTTATGATAATACATTGCTAAATAGAATTAAAGATAACAATTTTATTATTTAGCTATAAAATTTATCCATCATGAATTCATATTTTTCAAAAAGTAGCTTATCTCGATCATAACCTCAATGTATTTTGTGACTATATATATAGTACAATTTTTAAAACGATATTATGTTGAGTGAAGTTGGTGATGATTATTTAGTTTGTAACTAACATTTTGAAATTGAGTAATGAGAATGGAACAAAATATGTCATATTAGAAGCGACGTTTCTAGAAATGTATTTTGTAATGTACAAATTTAAATTTAATTGAATCTTAATACGAACTGAATGCGAAAATTAAAAAGTAAATAAATTAAAACGTGCCAACTACTTACATTTTAAAACCATTTAATTATTTTATAGACTACACATTTATAATATTTTTTGTTGTTCAACCAAATAAAAAGCAGGAAAACATTCTTTTTTAAAAAAAAAAAACATTTTCATGACGATGTTTTCACAAAAATGACATGCCATCAACTAAACATATTTAATATTTTCTTTTGTCAATTACTTAATAAAAATTATCGTTAGGACATCGTGCAAGGCACACCATTTGATGATGAATTTTTTAATACTCCTTCAATCAAAATATTTCATTCGTTCACTTTTGTTTTTTACGTTTCATTCATCGAAACGACATCTTAGTGAACATGCATAAATTCTTTAAGCTTAGTAAAGTTAATGCATACAATTAATTAAAAAAAATAACATATTTTAAGCATAGCTAGCTTATAAATTTGCATAAAAGTTTTTTCAAATTATAAAGTCAAAGTGTCTAATATGAATTACGTATAATTTATTATACGTACAGGAGTTCATTTAAAATATGCCATAATATGAGTGCCTAAATATTACCGATAAATTTTAGTATTACATGAATTTATGTGAAATAAACCATTTAAACATTTCAATGTTATATATATATACTCAGTCCACAAACACTGTAAAAGAAATATCACAACTTCATTTTCCTTCAACGTACAATCATTTACATTTGAGTAGGTAATTCAAATGTAAGTGATTACCCCTCCGTTAATTTTTACTTGTTCATTTTAAATTTTACATGTTTTGCAAGAAATAAAATTAATATGAGAATATTCATAAAATGTTTTTATTAATTGACGAATAATATTGTGTCTTGATAAATAATTTGGGAATAAGTAATTAATGTTGAGAATAAAATAGAAAAATAATAATGTTTTTTTCTTGATATGATTAAAGTAATATATATATTTTAGGTAAATGGGAAGGATTTTTCAAGTTTTCAACGACATGACGTTTTTTTAAAAGATATAATATTTATCTTTTATTGATATTATAAAAGTAAGGGATAAGGGTCTGAAAAATATCCAACTTTGGTCGAATTTGCTGTTGCGATACTAAACTTTCATGAGGACCTATTACCTCCCTAGACTATTTAATACCGTATTTTAAACATATATATTTGTCCACGTGGACATAAAAAATAATGTAAAATTATAAATAGTAATGTGTCCACGATGGCACATATATACCTTTAAAATACACTATTAAATAGTTTAGGGGGTAAAAAATATGGTATTACACAGTCTAGGGAGGTAATAGGTCCTCATGAAAGTTTAGTATCGCAATAGCAAAACTGATCAAAGTTGGGGTATTTTTCAGACACTTATCCCTAAAAGTAATAAATGAAATAAATATATTTTAAAAATAGTGGACAAATAAAATTAAACGTAAGGGGTAATATAGTAATTTCAACAATAAATAAGAAAACACAAAATATTACTCATAAATCACATTTGGTGAATGCGTTTTATGCCTTTCATTCTAAGCTCTTTCTATTTAGGTATTTGAGAAGGGTTTTTTCAAGTTTTCAACGACATAACGAATTTTTTTAAAATAAAATAATTATCTT